GTGTGTGTTTATCAAAAAGACAGAAAGTCACAAATGCTGGCAATGATGTGAAGAAAGGAGATCTGTTAGACACAGTTGGTGGGGATGTAAATTACTACAGCCACTATAGAAAACAATGTGGAGATTCCTTAAGGAAATAGAAATGGAACTGCCATGTGATCCAGCAATCAAACTACTGGGTGCATAAATCCAGAAGACAGGAAATCATTGTTTCAATGCAATATTTCTTCACTAAGTTTGTTGCAGCACTATTCACAATAGCCTATATATAGAATCAATCAAGATGTTCATCACCGGATGAATGGATAAAGAAAGTGCATACACAATGGAATATTATTCAGACATAAAAATAATGTAATCTTGTCATTTGCAACAAAATAATTGGAACTGAGGGACATTATGTTAACTGAAATAAGACAGACAAAGAAAGGAAAATATTACACGATTCCCTTGTTACATAGAAGGTAAGCCTTGCAGGTTAAGCTGCCGCCTGCAGCACCAGCATCCCATATGGGTGCCGGTTTGAGTCCCGGCTGCTCCACTATGATCCAGCTCCCTGCTAACGCACCTGGGAAAGCAGCAGATGATGGCCCAAGTGCTTGGACCCTGCACCCACATGGGAGACCAGGATGGAGTTTCACACTCCTGGCTCTGGCCTGGGCCAGCACTGTCTGTTGTGGCCATTTGGGGAGTGAACCAGCAGATGGAAGATTTCTCTCTCTGCCTCTGTCTCTCCATCTTAGTAACTCCACCTTTCAAATAAGTAAAAAAAACTTTAAAAAGACTTTAGTCTTAACACTGAATGGTGATTACTAGAGGCTGTGAGATGTGTGAGAGAGATAAAGGAAGTTTGCATAATGGGAATCAAATCCCAGTTAGGTCAACAGAACACATTCCTACTGTTAAACAGCATAGTGGGGTGATTATATTTCATGATAACCTAGAGTAGATTGTATAAACAAATAGAAAGAAGCTCCAAGCCTCTACTCATAAAGCAATGTCTAGGAAGGGGAAACATTAATTACCCTGTTTTGATCAGTACATACTATGAACCTGTATTGAATATTATCACACTGAAGCCCATAAATATGTACAGCTATTGTTAATTATTTAAAGATTTATTTTATTTATTTGAAAAACAGAGTTACAGAGAGAGGTAGAGACAGAGAGAGAGGTCTTCCATCAGCTGGTTCACTCCCCAGATGGCCACAATGGCCGGAGCTGCGCCTATCTGAAGCCAGGAGCCAGGAGCTTCTTCTGGGTCTCCCACATGGGTGAAGGGGCCCAAGGACTTGGGCCATCTTCTGCTGCTTTCCCAGGCCATAGCAGAGAGCTGGATCAAAAGAGGAGCAGCCGGGACTAGAACTGGTGCCCATATGGGATGCCGGTGTTTTAGGCCAAGGCTTTAACCCACTGCGCCACAGTGCCGGCCACCAGTTATTGTTCATCTTAAAAATAAAAAGAAAGAAATCATACTGCACTCAATAAACAGGTAAATATTATGTGTCGATAAAGAAGAAAATATAACTTACAAAGAAGAAAAGAATGTAAATTCTGTTCAATGAAATTTATGGCAAACTGTTAAATATCCTTGTTCAAATGGCCTACATCCTTATATATTTAACAAATTCTTTCACTGGTTACTGAAAGAATTGTGGTGTAATCTCTTCTTGTGATTGTGGATTTATTCGTGTCTCCTTTTATTTTCATCAATTTATATATGCTTTCCAACTAAATTGACCCCTTTATCATTATAAGACATTATTCCTTATCTTTTAGTAATATCTCGTGATTCAAAGTCTATTTGGCCTGGCATTGACACAAACACACTATCCACATGACTATGAATGTGTCATCTATTAGAGCCTTTCTTAACTTGGTAGTTTTACCACTTACCAAATAATGAAAAACCATAAAATATTTTCATATACCTGACCTCCTTATTACACAATTGTTTTAATACCTTTTGGTTCTACAAACTATAAATTTCAGGGCAAACAATATTGTTGCCTCATTCACAACCCTTCTATTTTTAACCATACATGTGTGATTTCCAAGATATCTACATTTCTTCCTACAGTTAGGTTTATCCATCTAGGTAAATTTTACTATAGCCTAATACTTCTAGTTTGAGTTTACAGCAATAAACTCTCTTAGTATTTGTTCCTCTGAAAAGGTCATTACTTTACTATATTTTGAGAAACATTTTGCTAAATACATGGGTCTCTTTTTCCCTCAAAATGTAATTATGTTGCCATCTAGTTTTCATAATTTTTCTGGAACATTCAATTATAAGAGTTATTATGTTGCCATAAAGATAATAGTTTTTCTTTGGAAGCTCTTGAGATGATTTTATTTCTCTTTAATTCTCAACAATAATTAATAATTAACTTGCTCTGATCTACATTGTAATTAATATACCTAACACTAGATTTATTCTTATTTGTGGTGGTAGCATATGGTTATTTTTCCTGTCCTTTTTAGTCTATCTCTGCATTTAAAGCTGGATTCTTATAAGCAATAGAGTTGTTGTTTAACTACCCATGCTTAAAAGCCTCTATTTTTTACTTGGTATACTTAAAATATTGTCATCAAAAGTGATTGGTGGGGCCAGTGCCATGGCTCACTTGGTTAATCCTCCACCTGTGGTGCCGGCATCCCATATGGGCGCCAGGTTCTAGTCCTGGTTGCTCCTCTTCCAGTCCAGCTCTCTGCTGTGGCCTGGAAGGCCAGTGGAGGATGGCCCAAGTGCTTGGGCCCTGCACCCGCATGGGAGACCGGGAGAAGCACCTGGCTCCTGGCTTTGGATCAGTGCAGCACCAGCCATGGTGGCCATTTGGGGAGTGAACCAACAGAAGGAAGACCTTTCTCTCTGCTCTCTCTCTCTCTCTCTCTCTCTCTGTCTATAACTCTACCTAATAAATTTTTTTAAAAAGTGATTGGTGATTTACTATGATTAGTATTTACCGTATTTTAATTCTTCTATTTGTTCCCCTCTTTGTTTTATACTGTTCTGTTGTCATCCACACTATTTTAAGAATTCTCTGATTGTAATTAAAAATTTTACATTATCTTATGTCATCTCCTAGTGTATGCATAATACTGATCCCCGTTCTTCCATAGGGGAGGTGCTGTGTCCTCTGCCCTGTTTAGAAGACGATCTCCTTGATGGTCTGCAGTTTGGAAACATCGCACCAGGAAGTAGGTTTTACTGTATTTATCCTAACTCTGTATTAATCCTGTTCTCTGCACCTCCTGGACTTGTGGTTTGGTGTCCATCGTTTCTCTTGGAAAATCTGTATCTGTTGTTACTTCAAATGTGCTTTCTTTCTCCTGCTCCTCTTAGCCCACTTAGACATAGGCTACACTTTGCCATTAACCACAGACGCTCTTAGGGTGTGTGGTCACCTTCTGTCTTTGCTTTGTTTTCAGCTTGGGAAGTTTCGAGTGACATGTTTTCAAAATTCTTGCTGATCCTTCCCTCAGTCATGTCCAGGCTATGGAAGAGCTCACAAGCGCATGCCTCACTGCTGTCACAGTGTTTGTGAGGCCAGCATTTCTGCATTTTTCCCTGGGGCTTCATCATCTGCCCGCATTACCCATATTGTCCACTGTTCCCCCAGAGTACTTGCCATACCAGTCATGTTCCAAACAAGGCCTGGTCCGGGGGATAATTCCTGGCCATACGGGAGCCAGTTTGTGTCCCAGTTGCTCCACTTCTTATCCAGCTCCCTAATAATGGCCTGGGGAAAGCAGCAGAGGATGGTCCAAGTGCTTGGGCCCTTCACTTGCTAGGGAGACCCAGATGGAGATCCAAGCGGCTGGCTTTGCCCTGGCCCAAAACTGGCTGTTGGGGCCATCTGGGAGTGAAGCAGTGGATGGAGGATCTCTCTCTCTCTCTCTGGCTCTCACTCTCGCTCTCTCTCTCTCTCTCTCATTCTAACTTTCAAAATAAATGAATAAGACTTTTTTTAAAAAAAAATTCATTAAAGAAAATGTCAATGTATTTGACATATCTGAGTCTGGTCCTGATGTTGGTTCTCCCTCCTTAGCCCTGGCTCTTTCCTTGTAGTGTGCCTCCTACTTTCAAGTGGGAAGCAGACATGATGCACGGGTAGAGGCAATGGAAGTACAGAGGCTGCTCGTGAGAGGTTTTAGGTTTCTCAGGCCAGGAGCAAGGCTGCCTTTGTTGTCTGCAGTACTTGCAAGCGCCAGAAGCTAAAATTTGTTGTTGTCTCCCTGGGCCTTTGCTTGAGCAATTTTCCTGAGCAGCATCGAAGGCTTTTCATTTTTTTGGCTCTAACGTCAGTTAGCGCACGGCGCCGAGCAGATAAGGTGGTGATGTGTGTGCTGAGAGAAAGCATTCTGAACACTGTAATTAGGTCTTGGGCCTAGGGACACGGTGACCCAGTCGGTGGGTGAACTTCCCTGGGCTCCGCAGCATATCCCCACCTCGGGGCGCCGGGGAGGATGGAAAGGCCCCAGTTGGGTGTGTGTCTTTCCTACTCTGCAGGCCGAGGGGTAGGACGAGCAGGTATGATCCGCCCCAGGTGGGGGCCTCTGGCACACAGGACTCAGGCAACCTTGGGTTGCCAGGGGTGGGGGCCAGGAAGCTGGAAGGCAGGCAGGTGACGGTGGATATTCTCTGTTGAGAAGCCCAGTCTTGCAGTCTGAATGGCTGCTCCAGGGGTTCAGGTTCTAAGACCAGAGTCCCCCTGGTGTGCGGTGCCCTGCCCTGATTTGATGGAGGCTTGGAGAAAGTGCTTGAAGAGGGAAAACATATGGCCTCGGAACCCGCGTTTCTAACCCTGTGATGCTAGGCACCCTGTAAAGGCACACTGTTCCAGAGACAAACAACAGCCTAAGGACAAACAACCTCTGGTCTCCCATGATAAGATCTGTGTCTCTGGGACCTTACCTGGGGCTGTTTTGGGATTCTGAGAGCTTGCCACACCCTAGCATGAGGGCTCTCTGCCCTTAGCACTTTCTGTGCCCTGGATTGGGAGAGGCAGGGTCTCGGGGATGTAATGCGTTGCACACCATTGATTCCACGCTCTTACTGTTGCGGGTCTCTGGGTCAACTAGTACCCATTGGTTGGGTGCCAGGCCCCAGGAAGAGCCAGGCCATAGGATACAAGTGTGGTGCAGTGGGGGGACCTATGGCCCCAGGGTCCCACTGTCCCACACTCCAGCCACCAGGGCCTGCTCATGCCAGGACCAGTAAGGTCCCGGGGTCCTTGTTACCTGCTGCATCTTGGTACCAAACATGGAGCCGCTCACGTCAATCACAAACACCACGTTCTTCTCCACAGGCGGGAGGCCTCGGGGCGCAAAGTAATGGATAAAATAGCCGTCGTAGATCTGCACAAACAGAGGGAAACCCAGCATTGAGCACCCCCATCCCGCCCTGCGCTTCTCTGCTCGGCTCCTCCCTGGTTCCAGCTAAGCAGGCATGCCAAGCCCCTGGTTCTCTGCTCCCTGTCTGTCTCCTGAACCACCGCCGAGCCCCTGCTGTGCAGACCTTCCTCCCTGGGCAGGCCCGGAGCTGGGGAGTGAGGGAGACTGGCTGGTGGCCCGGGACTCCACGGATCAGGATCTCTGGAATCTGTGAGTTCCTGTCTGTGAGAGAGCTGGGCTTGCACAGTCCTGAGGGTCCCTGGGGACGCTTTGCCTGGGCTCCAGGAACTCTAAGTATTGTTTTAACCTCCCTCACTAAAGTGAGCCGGGGGGCCCCGCTCACTGCTGCCAGGGGCTGGGAGCCTGCAGGGCCTCTCTCCTGGAACCTCCTTTCTGCTGTTGCTGGGCAGAGCAGGGAGGGGAGGCGGCGGCAGAAGCTGAGCAAGCTGTTTGTTCAGAGGGGATTGGTTACACCAGGTACAGATGCCTTGGGCTGCCCTGGATGTGATTGGCCGCTGACCCCCCTTCCCCCCACGCACCTCATCTCTGGCTGTGCAGAGCCTGGGAGCTCTGGCAGCTGCGGGCAGGGGGAGGCTGGGAGAGCCCCTCACACCACTGTCAGCTCAGCTCAGGGGTGCGGGCGCCTGCAAGGGGCTGTGCCCCCTGCAGCCTGAGGCAGGCTCTGCCCAGGGATGCAAGGTTAGCTTCCCCTCTGCCCTGCAGGCACTCCCAGACCACCAGGCTGCAGGAGATGGGAGGACACTGTGCTCCTTCCCCCAGGCCAGACACTGATTTAATGCAGACTCACAGGTGCAGAGCCCATCTCCACTTAACCGGCAACGGACACCCTTCCCCAAAGACCTGCGTCACGGCCCCTGCATCTGGCTGAGCCAGGAGCAGAAGGCAGTGGGCCTCCTGGGGGCCTCCCATGCCTGGCAGGCCGGTCTCCTGGGAGAGTAGGTCAGCTGCCCCTGATGCCACGTTCGGAGCCTCTCCCCCCACCTCGATGCTTCCCATGGCCACAATGCGGGACTCGTCCATATACCTGTCCCGGGACTATCCCCAGTCACCCCACACACCCCCGAACTCCCAAAGAATATAGGGCTGCCTGCCTGGTGACAAGCACCTGGAATGCACACCCCTCCCTGGCACAAGATCCATATCCCATGTGCCACCGCCTCTGCTGGGACCACACAGAGAGAGCCTGGGCCCCGACCCCCAGCACTGCCTCTCCTCTGTGTTTCAGGACCCAC